TTTTTCCCTGAGGAGCTGTTTTGTTTGGCGTTTGTAGTTCTAAAAATAAAGTTAGTTTCTTTTGACAAATGGCTCCTGATTTGTGCCAAGCCAGACTTCGGCACCTGGGCTTCAATTTTGGCGTGATTCCCCTTGGAGACTGAGTTCTTTAACTTAACTTAGAGAAGTATTGCCATGAACTGTGCTGGGAGTTTAAGAGGCCACTCATGAGAGTTGCCCTTGGAAACTGAGATCAAGGACCAGGGTGGCTTTTCACAGAGCAGTGGTATTTCAGCCAGGATATCACATGATTTTATTCTTAAAGATCTGGTAGCCATAGTTGAAAGTCAAAACCCACAGCGACCTCACACTGTATACCTTAATGATCCTGGCTTCATGTGACCTTTTGGCCACTCTTGGTAAGCCTTGCCTCTGAATGTTTCTCCAGAGCTTTCATTGAAATGAGCACCCATAACCAGTTCTAGTCTTAGTCCCAGTGGTCTCATGTGTTTGGATTTAGCAAGGACAGTCAGTCTTTCTTGGTACCTACTGATGTAAGGATGGCCAAATGCCAGGAATGCTCTGAAGAGGTTACTTTCCTGAAAAAGCAGGTAGTGAGTGACTCACCGCTGGCTCCTTACAATTTCACAGAGTTGGCCAAGGAGGCCAGAACTGAGAGAGGACAGGCCATTTTGGGAGAACATAGTATGGCCCACCAGTCAGATGACACTCTGTATAGTCACAGTCCCACGTGGGGGAAAGAGGTGCCTTTGTGGGTGTGGGTGTGAGTTTGTGGTTTTTTCTCAAGTTCTGAGAATAGGTAGGAAAGGCGGTTTGTTTGATTGGGAGTGGACTGTTTCTAGTAAGTCTTTTGACAAGGCGAGTGTTTCTATGTCTGTGTAACCCACTGTGTCCCTGGTTGTAGACATTAGAAAAGTGAATGCATCAATGGATGTGTCCTGTCTAGTAGAAAACTTACCAGCATTTATCCTGCCCAATTTATGAATTTACTGCAGCTTGCCTTATGGATGGGCAACACTTACTATTTTCCTAAGTTCCTGTTTTCTTCCTGAATTCTGGTCACTCTCCAGAATACGCTCATGGTTTTTTGTCCAAGATATGAACCACCTCCCAGCCTGTGACATGGCCATGTACTGGATAACTGAAAAAAATAGGAGCATCTCAGTAAACTCAGATATCAATGTCACCAGTAAAGTGTCAGTGAAAAAACCCTGGTTTGGGCCTTTTGCTTTTCTATTATTCTGTTGACCTGAATGTCAGGAAGGTCTTTGCCTCAGGCCACTTCTTCCAGCCCGTTGTGAAGACTGAAGAAAACGGTTTTCAAATTGAAATGAATTAGCATCACCTGTGGCTTTTTGCTTAATTTCTTTGCAAAGGGATGTGTCTGAATCAGCCTCTTGGCCCTTTGTGAGGCTGTGGTTTAGATTCTCCGCACCTGATGGATTAAAGAAAGATCCCATGTATGCATCCAAAGCCAAAATGGCAAAAAGAGTAGTTATTGTGGATGAAGTCTCTTGCCTTCTTCTGTAAGGATCCTGATTTTCATCAAGTGTGAATAGGGATTTTTTGGGTCAAATGAGTTTTTCAAAGCCCAGCAGAGGCTAGCCCATAGGTGCTTGGGATTTCTCATGACTCCAATTCACACAAGGAATCTATGCCTGACAGTCAGTAGGTCTCAAATTGGAGAAGCAGAGCAGCATTAAAGGCAAGCATATTTGATCACTCCTGCTTCACAGGAAGGGTGTTCATTCCACCCTGAGATTAGGCAAATGAGGGGCAAGGGAGCTTATTTTTGACACTGTGTTGGGCTGCGCCCCTTATGGAAACCACCAGCCAGAGGTAATGATGAGTTTCTATGTGGAAGAAGATGAAGGCCATGTGCCAGTGTTTTGGTTTGAATTGTGGTCATTTGTGTGGCAGTTGGAAGGGTCAACCTGGGCTTCAATTCTGGCGTGATTTTCCATGGAGACTGAGTTCTTTGACTTAACTCAGAGAAGTATTGCCATGAATTGTGTTGGGATTTTAAGAGGCCACACATGAGAGTCGCCCTTGGAAACTGAGATCTAGGACCTGGGTGGCTTTCCACAGAGCACTGGGAATCTCAGCCAGGATATCACATGATTTTATTTTTAAAGACCTTGCAGCCATATTTGAGAGTCAAAACACACATAAACCTCACACTGTAGACCTCAATGGGCCTGGCTTCATGTAACATTTTGGCCACTCTTGGAAAGCCTTTTCTCTAAATGTTTCTCCAGAGCTTTCCTTGAAATGAGCTTCCTCACAATTTAGTGGTTCCTGAATGAATAGAAAGCCACAGTGCCTCCAAGTTCATCCTTGAAAAATGGCTTGATAAATACCATGAAATTTTTGAAATTCCCATGACCAGGTGGCACTGGAGAACCTTTCGATGTCATGTTGCTGATCATGAGTGTAAAGTGCCTTGATTGACTGGGTTTCATGAAAATGGTGTAGAAGAGAGATGCCAGTAAGTTGGAGCCTGCTGATTAGTGGGCCTAGAGCAGTGGTGTGCATGTGTGTGATAAAACATCTGTCGTGAAGCCATGTGGATCTGCCATTGGCTTCCAAATGGCTTGTGACTGACATGGTGCAGCCAGCAGACCCTTATATGTAAAGGCATCTTGTTATAGGGAGAGGTTTCAGGGCAATGTTCAGAATCAGGTTGCTATGGTCAAGGGGGCAAGCTCTGTGGGATAGAAGCCTGGTTGGTGTATTGTCCTAGGACCCTGAGTCAGCAGACGTGACAGAACCCCTCCAGCACTGTGTGGCAGTTGAACTCCTTGTATTTCATGAAGCCAATAGGAAACTCCCAGTGAAGCAGCAAGAAACACCGGGAAAAGTGGAGGATGACCAAATGGCCTCATAGTCCACACGGGGAGACACTTTGACCCCAGTGGCCACAGTTTACCTACAAAGAGAGAATTCAGCACTTCTGCCTCATGTTCATTGGAAAATCAGAATCCATGTCCTCCAGGTCACATAGATGCAGACCAAGCTTTGATGGTCTCACTACAAAGTAAGCTAAAGCTCCTGACAACAACATATATTTCAAGTGCCCAACCTCAGAGGCACTTTCCCAAGTAGTCTTTATGCCGGCAGAGCTCCATGTTTGTGGAGTGTCTACCCTGTCCCCTACTTATAAAAACTCCTCTACCATTTCCAAGGTTGTGAACTACTGAGCATTTTTCATTGCAGATATGTATTCACAGGTTTTCTAACTCTTCTCCTCGAATTGTGTCTTACTTGGGGCAAAGACAATGTCAAGGCATTGTTCTGGATGAGAGTGGGAAGATATTTGTGTAGCACATAATTGCATACACATTGGATTCATTTTCCTATTTTCCATTGGAAATACTGAATCACTGACACTAACCCATAACCTACTAGACTCTGATTACGAATCCTGATATGATGGAGGAAAGTAACCCAAACAGAATAGCAATACAAGCAGTTCAGATGAGGCATGGTGTATAGTTGGACTTTCCTTTTGCATTATAAAGGCTAGGTGTTATAAATCTAGTCCAATTTAAGAGAAGCAGTTCTCCATGTTTTTGTAAAGTTAACAAATATGTGAATTCCTGTCTCCCTTTCTCTGTAGGCTATTCAGCACATGTATTTTTACATGCACATTTAGAATTCTACCTGGTATCCCAAGTACATTCTTGTGAGGTTGCTGTCTTGGCAGATACAAATTGTGAGAAGAGATCACTCCTCCTAAACGCTGTTGGAACTGAAAATTCAACCTATGGGTGACCTTTCTACTTGAACAACGTGATACATAAATCCATGTTCAGTAAAATAAATATTTTTGGATCTGTGGATGATATATAGTCCATGATGAATTTTGATTGGCATATATATTTCTACGTTTTAATGTCTGTGTATGTTTGTTTTTTTTGTATATATGTATATATATACAGACACACACTCTCCAGATTTTTGAAAATATGAAATATATGTGTCTTATTGTACACTCCCTAAATTCATTCATGTTCATGTATGTCAATTTATAATCAACTATTCACAACATTATTCTCAGAAATATTCATCCACCTGAAATACATATTTGTTTCCTAGTACTGAAAACGAACTTCAGTTAATGGTTCATAGAAATCCTTATATTTTTAAAGTAACTAACCCAGTTTTGCATCAATGCAAGTAGATTCCTGTGAGAAATGATGTGTATTTTGACGTTCCTTTTTATTCAACACTGGTACATTACTATTTCTTCAGTTGAACACATACTTAAATATATATTTCATCCACAAATACACAAATTTTCAGGGATTTGGTTCACTATCAATCACTTCCTGCTTCAGAACACATGTACTCCTGTATTTTTCTGGACTGGTCTTTTCAGGAGACTTCTTTCTAAACACATTATTTTTAATTTCCATAATCACTTTTCAAGCAAAACTCACACACCCTTCATGGAAAACCATAACCCTAATATCACCATTAGATGTATAACTGGTTGCAGTGAATGATTGTGTGTCAATAATAGATTTCCTATATATTTTCAGATATCAATGCAATCCATTATTTAAATTGGAACCAGTTATATTATTTATTCACAGTATGGTCTATTCATGCATTATCTCTATATTAATAGACACAGGGTACATCTATTTGTGCCCCGAAATATTAATTAATATGTCTTCAAGATATTGCTCCCAGAAATGGTGAAAGAAATACTCATGTCACCTGACCTCCATATAGCTTTTATCACAGTGATATTCTGGACACAAAATGCAAAGTTCACATTTATGATTGTACCAAAGGCTAAATGGAAAGTGAGCATGGATTACTAAAAAAATTCTTGTCCAGGTTTCCTAACGCTCTCAAATGTCAATCCTATTATTGACTACACAGTTGCTTCTTCCTAAGATTATATATTCACCCTCAACCCTGTTGAAAATATCTAATCCTATCACTCACTTTATACTTTGCCTGATTTTTTAATGTCTCTATGGATATCTGCTTTCCTACATAATTTCCCCAGTTCATCATTGTGACTGACTCTTCACAAGTGCTGACATTTACATTCACTCTCTAACTGTCACCCTTCTGCTAAAGAACATTTGGTCTAAATTTTATACTCACTCTTCTTCCTAAACCGACTGACTATCTTCCTAATTCTACCTACTATTCCTTTTTTACTGGATGTTCTCTTCCACATTCAATTATCTAAGGTACAAGGTCTTATGCCATTGTATATCAATTTATGTGAGACATCTGTGCAGAATGTAATTCAAAGCTAAGTATCACAATCAAGGGCCCAATGACCTTCTGGGCTTTAAATCTTACTTCGATTTCTGTTTTCATACAGATATTTCACGTATATATTATTATAAATGTCACAGGTTCCCAAAACCATTCTTCATCTAGCAGAATGATTCCTAACCCAAATGGAACATGTTCTTACCCCTAACCATACACTGTTCCCTCAATCCAAGTTTACAGAAGAGCAGGGACAGAGTTGGTATTTCAATACAGGAATGTAGGGCATCTGCCACCTGCTGAGAACCTCAAAGGTCCATGCAGAAATGATCCCTGGAGAAGATGTAGGCAGCTATGAAAGAGACCTGAGAGAGCAAAAGTCATCTTATATGGCAAACAACCTGGTCAGGATGAAGGGATGTGTCTTAATGAGCCTCTCTCTTCTTAATGTAGACAAGATGGACCAAACCAGGCCTGTGTGGAGAGCTGTTCCTGGGTGCCCATGGTGGATATACCATTCTAACTTGTGAGAGTGTCAGAGGAAGCAGGGGCAGCCTCCATCTCTTGGGACCCTTGGAAGCAACTGTTTGGAGAAAGTGGTTGCCAAGCAAGTGACCTCATTCAGTTCCTGAAGGAAGTGACCTCACCTCACTTCCTTGGTGATGGAACTCTCTGAACTTGGGATCCAGGAAGCCAGGCACCCAGAGCCAGTCCCAGTCCTTGTCCTAGTGGGCTCACTTGTTTGGATTTACCAAGGACAGAGTCAGTCTTTCTTGGTACCTACTAATATGAGGATGGCCAAATGCCAGGAAAGCTCTGAAGAGGTTACATTCCTGAGAAAGCAGGTAGTGAGTGGCTCACCACTGGCTCCTGACAACTGCGCAGAGTTGGCCAAGGAGGCCAGGTCTGAGAGAGGACAGGTTATTTTGGGGGAACATAGTATTGCCCACCAGTCAGACGACACTCCGGATAGTCACAGACCTACTTGGGGAAGGAGGTGCCTTTCTGTGTGTGGGTGTGAGTTTGTGGTTTTGTCTCATGTTCTGAGAATAGGTAGGAAAGGCGGTTTGTTTGGTTTGGAGTGGACTGTTTCTAATAAGTCGTTTGACAAGGCGAGTGTTTCTATGTCTGTGTATCCCACTCTGTCCCTGGTTGTAGACATTAGAAAAGAGAATGCATCAATGGATGTGTCTTGTTTAGTAGAAAACTTCCCAGCATTCACCCTGCCTAATTTATGAACTTACTGCAGCTTGCCTTATGGATGGGCAACACCTACTATCTTCCTAAGTTCCTGTTTTCTTCCTGAATTCTGGCCACTCTCCAGAATAGGCTCATGGTTTTGTGTCAAATATATGTACCACCTCCCAGCTCTGTGACATGGCCATGTACTGGATAACTGAAGGGAAATACGAGCATCTCAGTAAACTCAGATATCAATGTGACCAGTAAAGTGTCAGTGGAGAAACCCTGGTTTGGGCCTTTTGCTTACCTATTATTCTGTTGCCCTGAATGTCAGGAAGGTCTTTGCCTCAGGCCACCCCTTTGTGAAGCCTGAAGAAAATGGTTTTCAAATTGAAATGAAAGGGCATCACTTGTGGCTTTTTGGTTAATTGCTTTGCAAAGGGAAATGTCTGAATAAGCCTCTTGGCTCTGTGTGAGGCTGTGGCTTAGATTCTCAGCACCTGATAAATTACAGAAAGATCCCATGTGTGCATCCAATGCCAAAATGGCAAAAAGAGTAGTTATTGTGTATGAAGTCTCTTGCCTTCCTCTGTAAGGTTCCTGACTTCCATCAAGTGAGAATAGGGATCCTTTGGGTCAAATGAGTTTTTTAAAGCCCTGCAGAGGCTAGCCCATAGGTGCTTGGGTTTTTTCATGACTCCAATTCACACAAAGAATCTATGCCTGACAGTCAGTAGGTCTCAAATTGGAGAAGCAGAGCAGTATTAAATCAAGCATATTTGATTACTCCTGCTTCACAGGAAGGGTGTCCAGGCCACCCTGAGATTAGGCAAATGAGGGGCAAGGGAGCTTATTTTTGACACTGTCTTGGGCTGTTCCTTTCATGGAAACCACCAGCCAAAGGTTATAATGAGTGTCTATATGGAAAAAGATGAAGGCCATGTGGCTGTGTTTTGGATTGAATTGTGGTCATTTGTGTGGCAGTTTCAAGGGATGACTGGGTGCACCTGGGCTTCAATTTTGGCGTGATTCCTGTTGGAGACTAAGTTCTTTTAACTTAATTTAGATAAGTATTGCCATGAATTGTGTTGGGATTTTAAGAGGCCACACATGAGAGTCACCCTTGGAAACTGAGATCTGGGCCCAGGGTGGCATTTTACAGAGTACTGGGAATCTCAGGTAGGATATCACATGATTTTATTCTTACAGACCTAGCAGCCATACTTGAGAGTCAATACACACATGGACCTCACATTGTAGACCTTAATGGGCCTGGCTTCATGTGACCTTTTTGCCACTCTTGGGAAGCCTTGCCTCTGAGTGTTTCTCCAGAGCTTTCTTTGAAATGAGCTTCCTCACCATTTAGTGGTTCCTGAATGAATAGAAAGCCACAGTGCCTCCAAATTCATTCTTGAAAAATGGCTTGATAAATATATGAAATTTTTAAAATTCTCATGATTAGGTGGCACTGGAGAACCTTTGGATGTCCTGTTGCTGATCATGAGTGTACCAGACAGTGCCTTGATTGACTGGGTTTCATGAAAATGGTGTAGAGGAGAGATGCCAGTAAGTTGGAGCCTGCTGATTAGTGGGCCTAGAGCAGTGGTGTGCAGGTGTGTGATAAAACTTCTGTCGTGAAGCCATGTGAATCTGCCATTGGCTTCCAAATGGCTTGTGACTGACATGGTGCAGCCAGCAGACCCTTATATGTAAAGGCATCTTGTTGTATGGAGAGGTTTCAGGGCAATGTTCAGAATTAGGTTGCTATGGTCAAGGGGGCAAGCTCTGTGGGATAGAAGCCTGGTTGGTGCATTCTCCTAGGACCCTGAGTCAGCACACGTGACAGAACTCCCTCCAGCACTGTGTGCCAGTTGAACTCCTTGTATTTCATGAAGCTAATAGGAAACTCCCAGTGAAGCAGCAAAAAACACCAGGAAAAGGAGGATGACCAAATGGCCTCACAGTCCACACAGGGAGACACTTAGACCCCACTGGCCACAGTTTACCTACAAAGAGAGAATTTAGCACTGCTGACTCATGTTCATTGGAAAATCAGAAACCATGTCCTCCAGGTCAAATGGATGCAGACCAAGCTTTGATGGTCTCACTACAAAGGAAGCTAAAGCTCCTGACAACAACATATATTTCAAGTGCCCAACCTCAGAGGCACTTTCCCAGGAAGTCTTTAGGCCAGCAGAGCTGCATATTTGTTGAGTGTCTACCCTGTCCCTACTTATGGAAACTCCTCTACCATTTCCAAGGTTGTGAACTCCTGAGCATGTTCCATTGCAGATATGTATTCACAGATTTTCTAACTCTTATCCTCGAATTGTGTCTTACTTGGGGCAAAGGTAATGTCAAGGCATTGTTCTGAATGAGAGTGGGAAGATATTTGTGTAGCACATAATTGCATACACATTGATT